AATATGTAAATCAAAATTATAATTTAAACTAACGGCAAAACTTTAATTTCTCCCTCTCTATTCTAAAAATCGTAATAAGTTCTCTGGATTGCGTCATTTCTAGATCATTCCATTTTGCATGGCCTACGCAGCGCTGATGACGTAATAATTGGGAACTGAAACTTTTAACTCAAAATCCTTCTCTTCCCGTGCTTCTATATAGATTAACTACGCACTTCAGCTTCGCTCTCCACCGTGCTAGTTCGCAATTTCGCTTTCTGTCGCAATAATTTCAAAGATGTAAATGTCCTGTGAATAGGCACGACTAGAGTGCCAAGCGATTGTGGCCACATATGTCAACTGGAAATAAAAATGGAATTAAAACTGCATTGACTGCCAAGTTTCTTAGATATTACGAACTCAACATATTAGCATACTACGCAATCGGAATTCTTCCTCTTCAGTATGGATCTACGATATATCCTAGCTAGGTATTACGCATCAAACAGTGTTCCTACATCAGTACTTCTCAATTTTGCTTTATTACATATATATGAAACATGAAAAAAAAAAAAAAATACTAACAAATTACTAACTTAATTGTCAACATTATTCTTGCCTTTTAATTCTTGGTTTTTATTCGGCTATATCTCCGTCCTGGAATCTGTGCTGCATTCTATGTGTTGAACTCGATACGTCTATCTGCAAGTCCGTCATTCCATTTTCGTAACAGTTTTAAGCTGTATCTTCTAACATCAAATTATCTACAGATAAATCATTTACACACTTTTGGTATTGCCGATTACAATAAAAAAAGGAGATGCACAATTAGATGTTGTATCAGTCCCATATACAAAATTTCAACTTTCTATGATTAATCGTTTTGAGTTATGCTAGATACAAACATACGTCACAAAACAACTGAATCCATTTTTCAATTCGTTTTGGAATAAAACATCTTTTATTCTGTCCCTACGCTGTACAGATGTCACGGGGAAAAAACTGTTCAAATGGATTTGGGAACGGTCAGAATGGATATTTCCGTGGAAATATATAACTCGAAATTTTTCGCGATTACGCTACTTCGTACAAGGAAGTTAAGGAAAATAAAATGGGCTGCATGGGCGAGATCTGTGTGGATTCTTTTGTTTAAACGTCAATAACGGAAAATAGGAGGACTTGGTAAGGGAAACGATAGACCATTTGAGGAAAAAAAAAAAAAAAAAAAAGAAAAAAAGAAAAAAAAAAAAAAAAAAGATATTAAAATATTATGCCAAAAAAAACCAAAAAAAAAAAAAAAAAAAAAAAACAAAAAAAAAAAAAAAAAAAAAACAAAAAAAAAAAAAAAACAAAAAAAAAAAAAAAATAAAAAAAAAAAAAAAAAAAACAAAAAAAAAAAAAAAAAAAAAAAAAAAAAAACAAAAAAAACAAAAAAAAAAAAACAAAAAAAAAAAAAAAAAAAAAAAAAAAAAAAAAAAAAAAAAAAAAAAAAAAACAAAAAAAAAAAAAAAAAAAAAAAAAAAAAAAAAAAAAAAAAAAAAAAAAAAAAAAAAAAAAAAAAAAAAAAAAAAAAAAAAAAAAAACAAATAAAAAAAAAAAAAAAAAAAAAAAAAAAAAAAAAAAAAAAAAAAAAAAAAAAAAAAAAAAAAAAAAAAAAAAAAAAAAAACAAAAAAAAAAAATTCTTAGAACTAACATTTGCTAACATTTTTTATGTGTATACTATGTGTTGTCATCAATAAAATCTGCTTGGCGAGATTTGCAGCATTAACACATTTTTATATGTATACTGTGTATTGTCGCCAGTCGAGTCTGCTTGGTGACATTTGCGCCGGCGAAATGTAAAATTACCCATTTATCGCATTTTGTTAGGAACGTTACGAGATTAGTTGAGAACTTTTAGCTTTTGCAGAATTTCGCCTTTCCAGGCTTTTCCCTTTCAGTATTACTTCAGTTATGATTTTATCAGTATTATTTGAATTATGATTATATAAGTATTATTTGAGTTATGATTATGTAGTTTCAGTTTTATTTATGAGTTATTTGAGTTATTATTTGAGTCATTTAGAATATACTTCTAATCTCTCTCTCTCTATATAAAGAAGAAAGTCTGTTTGTCTGTACGCTAATAACTCAGTTACTACCACAGCTATAGTATCGTCACCAAACTTTTTACAATTCTTTTGTGGGTCCTGGAAAAGGTCTCGACTTCCACTTTTTTCAAAAAAAAAAAAAAAAAAAAAAAAAAAAAAAAAAATAATAATAATAATCTGATGTGTACACCACATGACTTCCTTGTACCGAATATTAAATTATACGTATTTTTTCTTGCATTTCATTAAACTTATTTGAATTAAATCTACTTCGTCGATAGCGCATAAACCACAATAGAATAAATGCACTCTTTAAAATTCACTGTACTTGTTTACCGTAGCGACACTCTGGCGCTAGGTTCACTTAACAGCTTTACATTTCGTTCAAATTACAATTCAGAATGCATAAAATTTATATCATTTGAAGTATTATCTAATCGTTGCCACATGTTCTATTCAAATACTATAATAAATCTAGAATGATGTATTAAAAGATATTAAGCAAACAAAACAAAAAAGAAACAGTTTTTCACTTACCATTGAGTATTTCTCATTCAATTAATTCAGTTCTCACTTCGCGACAAGGCAAAAATACATAAAAACTCAAAATATCTACATTAAAAATTACGAACTAAATCTTAAACACTTATTTCCTTGAAAAATTCCAGAAAGGATTAAGCATGATTTAATTCGCAATAATAAATGAAGGCGTTATCTTTGTTGTTGCGAAGCTAAGTTTCTCTAGATTGGCAGCAAATCCACTATTCTGCTGTTTCAAATGTAAACAAGCAATGGCCGCTATCAAAAAATTATTAGGCTTAGCGGCACTTAAACAACTTTAAAATTGTTGCTAATTCTAAAAATATTGCATACAGATTTACTAAAGGTATAAAAACCTTAACCGGAAGATAAGAACAACATAATTCAATCATTTTTAAAGCAAAAAATATACAATTTACAAACATATAAGAGTAAAGAAACTGAGATCACTGAGCCGGGTAACAGAGTGGATATATATATATATATAAAAATATATTTATATACGTTTCGTGCGGCCGATGGCAACCAAAAAACGAGGTGCACATCTACATGTTATAGCAGTCCTATATACAAAATTTCAACGTTCTGAGGCTACTCGTTTTTGAGTTATGCGAGGTACGTACGTACGTACAAACGTTCGTACAGACGCCACGAAAAATTCTCTTCAGAATTCAATTTAAACAGCTTTATAATTTTTTTGGAGGAAACGAGTCTTTTATTCTTTCCTTTTGTACAGATATCACGCAAAAACATCGTTAAATTGCATTCGATAGCGGTCAAATGGATATTTTCGTTGAAATACGCTGCCTGAAACTTTTCGCGATTACAATACTTCCTTTTTACTTCGTACAAGGAAGTAAAAAGTAGTTAAAATCACAGATATTAACTGAAAACGCTTAAAACGCTAATTTTCGCCCTCATTTTTCCGAGTGGCAACAGTCTCGCACGCTGGAGATAAAAATCTGCTTTATTTCGAGAAGTGTCGCCACTGCTCGCTTCCACATCTTAGAGTTTGTTAATAAAAAATTTGTAAGTTTTACAATGAAAAAATTATAGCATTGCCAAACATTAAATACATTATTCTCGATTCCAAAATTTCTTGGGAAGGCATTTCGACTATTCCAATCTTCGTACGACTTTTATATATTTCAATTTTCGTACGACGAAAATTGAAATATATGTGAAATATTGGATAGAACTTAACTTTTACGACCATTTGATTAGAAAGACGAAAATCATTACAAAAACTGAGTGTTATTGTTGCCGATATAATGAGAGAGAATTAGTTTATTTATCTATCGAAATTTTGTATGAGGGTTCCATATCGCATCAAACGGAAAAATGTATGAATATTAATTGTATTTTTTGCATCGTTATTAGTTACAGCGGTATCGTTCTCTCTCTGTTGTTAAATACATTACTCTCAATGTAACTTAATTGGTATTCGGTACTTAAGGTAATTATTTGATAAGTATCAGAAAGAGCCTTTACTGAAATGACTGTGCTTAAGTAATGCTATAAAAAAAGGCAGAAATCTCAACAATAATACAATCCTCAAAGAGATCATACATATTTTACCTGAACAACGATTAAAACGATCATACATATTTTACCTGAACAACGTTTCAACAATGATTTAAATTTCTGGAAAATGATTCTGATACTTATAATTGGAAATAATCAACATTAAAAAAATTTGAAGCAGTGTGATATTGCGACAATTTTCAAAAGAAGCAAACAATTTCCTGAGACTTGAATAGTATTACATATCACAAATAATTTTTAAATTACCAACTAAAGAAGAAATTTCGGTAAATCTTTACATTATGGTAACTTGGCGATTTTTTGGCGACCAATCCTGTTACAGATACCGGCTAGAGTTTTTTTTTTTTTTTGATGGGTTTTTGATGCCATTTTGTTTTCGCGAAGTTTTTTTTTTTTTTTTTTTTTTTTTTTTTTTTTACTTAACATTTTTTTCAACAATCTGCTAGCCGAATTACGCTTATGCTAGAACTTTTATGGAACAAAAGTGCTTAATCATGACGAAGATTAGGTGCGAAATTGGGAGAAAGTGTAGAATCGCCCACTGCTTGCCGCGTTTTTAAGAATTGCATATACACGGTATCCATGTACATGCCGACCTATTTTCACTTAAAAAAAATCCCAGAATTGCACAAAAATGGCATTGCGCACACTCTTGACTAGGCCATACAAGGAAATCGTTGTATCCACACCAGATATTTTATTTATGTACTACTGGTTTTCGTATGGTAATATTAACAATTTCTAAGGTTTTGATCATGGTTCACGAGAGGTGGGTCACCTGTTGACAGAATAGTTAATTTGTTTATATATATTAAATATATATTAATTACCGCGTTCTTTTTCAGGTATCAGAATGACAGACTTTTCATTTCTTCGTTTTAATACGAGTGTCGTCTATAACAGCAATCGATAACGAACGTGTGTGGCTGAAGAGAGGCAACGAAATTTAGGATTACATTTTATATCACTATTAATATCAGAGAAAACAAAAATGAACCGAGAACGCAGAAATAGAGCAGAGACTCTCCAGAGATCCGAAGCAATGTCCAGTCTCATCAATCAAATAATGTTCTTTATGCTCTGTGACAGATGGTTCTGCCCAGAAGAGAAACTGACGGGTTTATATGCGCTGTTGTTCTACAATGTCATCTGCTACCTACTCATGTACACCCAAAGACTCGTATACCTACAGGATATCACTCCTGTAGTTTTCGTATCGGAACATTCCAACGTTCGTCACCTAGCTATGACAGCCACAAAAGTGATGCTGGAATTCACGCGGGCTGTTACTTTCGTGGTAACCGGTGTATTCATGCTACTTGTATTCGGCCTCGAACAAGGCTTGGAGCACTTCAATCCAACATGGTACTACATTGGAATAACGGCTATTTACTTCACACTCACAGAAAGAACTTGTCAGGAGAAGATACCATCGCTGTTAACATACTTTCACTGCGACATGTTCGAAAGCCTCGAAAACCTCTGGACACCAGTTTTAGTACGCCTGTGTTCTTCTGTAGCCTCTGGATTAATGATTCTGCTAGTATTTATTTGCACCCACGAGAACTGGGCTTTGCTTCTGGCGGCTAGTTTCATCAACGTTTACATGACCATTAAAGATTTAGACCACCATTGGCAAGCTCTTATGAAAGAAAAATTAAGCATCGAAAAATACAGGTATGCCAGTCTGCAAGAGTTGAATGAAAATGATGATGTGTGTGCAGTTTGCCTTCAGGCAATGTCTTGTGCTCGCATCACACCATGCCACCACATGTTTCACGCGGAATGTCTAAGACGTTGCCTGAAGGAAAGACCAACCTGTCCAATGTGCAAATATTTTCTAGAATAGGAAGAAACATGAATATTGTTTCGAAAAATTATTTGTGATTGAAAGACCGCTTCAATCTGCTAACTGAAATTGTTTTATACATTCTTCCTCCCTTGGTGCAAATGGTTTGATATATTTCTAAGCAAGTTTTCATTTTTTTCCTGTTTCTAGCATAGCAAGTTACTTTTATACGTTTTGTACATAAGTACAGAAGTATTAGTTGTAATTGATGCCAGTTGATCTGGAGAACATTCATTTATTACTCATTCAACTAAAAACACATTAAGTTAAAAATGTCTTCATTAGCTTAATGGAAATGAGCTGTGATTAAAACATTATACCCATACAGGGTGCTAAAGTATTTTCTAGTCGACCGTGAAAGTTGGCGAAGATCCCGCCAAAATTGCGTCAACGGTTCTGGTGAAAGTTTGAAGGAACTAATTGCTCTCTAATTTAGCGAGATAATCAACTGATACAGATTATAAATACCGCATATTAAAACTTAAATTACGAACTCAAGTTCTGGGATTAACTGACAAAGAAATTTATTCAACTGTTACCAATTATTCCGGCGGTCAAAAAATGTAAAATAACAACAAAACTGTTACCTTCTTCACGAACTCAAAGCCAATTAAATTAAATATCAATTTAAGTGGCGTCATGTTGCTACACTTTGTCTTTTATTACAAATTCCACAGTTTGTTAATATTTTGACTACGCGTATCAGTATAATCAGCCTTGCAATAGAACATACTCCATTGCTTGCTGTTCTGTAGAAGGCAGATACTAAATTTCAATCTTTTTTTCCCCTTCCCTGCCCCCTCTAAAATGCAATACAAACATAGAGAAATAGTAGTTAACTTCCTTATAAAATCTAATCTGACTTATTCAAGATCAGGGTTACATGAAAACCAAAGCGAAGTCTTATCAGTGTGTTGTGATGTCACACTTAGACATTGTTGGCGATAAACTGCAATTTGGCAACATTGTCGAAAATGATAAACGGCAAAATACGTAAGTAACCAGTATGTTAACTCGAGATTAGAATATTTTTTATACATATATAGGTCAATTAAATGAAAAAAATTCCGAGATAGTTCCTTCATTTTATCAAATTATTAAAAAGTTGTTATAAAAGAAGCCATGAACAAACAACTTTTAGCCTGTTGTACAAAAGTCCTCATACTGACAATATAATATTAATCTTACGATGAAATTCCAACTCGAAGTAGATTACACGCAACTTTTTTCAAACACAGTATCAAACGTGGTACCTTAAGACGATAAGTGAAGACTTCGTCAGTTGTTCTCATATATATAACTGATAAATACAACTTCCTAAAGAGAAGGATGCCTTCGAGGTGGAATTTCTAGAGAAAAACTGGCTCGTATCTACGTTATGCATTTGGAAACACGTTTGGAAAACCACGAAACGCCCAAGCAGCCAGCCTTTCACCTCGAATCGAACACACGTCTTAATTACCAGTATTCAGCGACTTTACCGATCGACCGCTGGTGGGCTTGTTCATTTTCAGAAGCACGGACTTTTATCGTGGATATCAGTTGCTGCTTCGGAACTTCATTAATGTGAAATGCCATTTCTCCTCCCCCTCCCTCAGTTCTCCGATTTCAAACACCACAGCTATCTTTTCTGCGGTTGTTTTTTAGCTCCTCAGCAAGGGTGTCAGAACCTTCCAAAGAGATCAGCAACAACAAACACTACGATATTCAGAGTTGCTGACTGTAATAAACGTGAATTCAATATCTTCTTATTTGAATGACCTTAAATAACATGGATAACAAGAGCAAACATGAAATTATAAAAGAAGCCAAATAAAGCATATCAATAACAATTGCATTGATAATAAATTGTCTATTCTAGTCATTTCACGAGTTAAATGAAACTCTCATCAAATTAATGTTCCGGAATGCATGTAAGTCCAATGGCTCCAAATGAAATATCTGCAATGATTACATTAAACCCTTGCGCAAATCGCAAATAAACCTAAATACTAATTCAAAAGTCAAACACAAAATACTGCTGTCAAAAGGAAAAAAATAAAACAAATGTTTATTGAAAGGATTTTTATTATTACTTAGTAAGAACGTGATACATCCCCTCCCTCCGTCTTTGCAAAGAATGGAGATTTTTGCGTACGACAATTACTGAGGCAGCTCAAATTTCGCGGTAAAGAGTGCATAGTTTTTCCATGCCCTTCATGAAATGTCTTCTTATTTCTTTATCTGGGCCGATCTCCGCAGTGAAACCAGACAGTTCCTGTGCCTTTTTTAACACTTCGTTTAACTTCTTGTAAATTAAAAGCGCTTTATCTTCTTCCTTACCACTGCTTTCACTCTCGGCTGGTGATCATCCAATTCATCATTCGTTATTTCTCGATTAATTCTTTAACTTGACCTTCTTCTATTCCTGATAATATTTTGCTAAGAGCTGGTTTTACAATTTACATGATTTCTATGGCGTCATTTTCAGTCAATGGAAGTCCTTTAAAGCTGTTGATAATTTCTGGCCAGAGCTGACGTCAGAAAGCAGTCAATGTTGATGAGTGAAAGTTTAACCGCATATGAATGAAATTCTAGCATTGGGTACAGTGCAGGATTTGCGTATAAGCTACACAAGCTATAGCTTAGGACCCCCCCGAAAAAAAAAACCCTCTAGGTATCCGAAAAATATATTTGGCACTGACATATAATATCTGGACTTGGTCTTCTGAAGTCTAAATCCGGCCCTGATTGGGGATTAGACACGTACCAAAAAGGTTACATGGGCAAGCAGCTACTTTTGAATACTGTTATTTTCATTGTTATTTTATGTAAATCTGAGCAAAGATATTACATGCGAGTGGAGCCATCAAATTTGTGTTTCAAGCAAATGTTATTGTTTGATCTCAATTGCAGCTATTGTAATCTGTTGGCTGTTTGTAGAACATAGGATATTTTTTGAATAAATTTGTTACATTTATATTAAAAAAACAGGTTTATTTATTTAACATTATTCAATACACATAAATTTGCTCTGTGTATATTCTTAAAATTACGATGAAACTTTTATTTGCAATTTCTCAATTTATAATGTTGATCGTATTATCTTCATTATTCTTACGTTTTAGCTTGCAAACTCTTTTAATTTAATAGACTACCTAAAGTTTTAACATAGAGGATTCACTGGGAATACATTAAGACTAGCAAGATAAAAATTTAGCCCATTTTTATTTTCTTCCTTGTACATAATTTGGTTGCAAAATGTGCAAGTTTTAACAAAAATAATAAGTAAACCATCAACTGAGAATTTGGTAATTTTTCCTTGTAAATATACCAGCTCTACTAATAGTCAAATACAATACAATACACATTACCATCTCATGTTTCCTCTTTTAAAATCTACATTAAAATGACCGGTCAAGTTATCTGAATACGGTAAAACATATGTGGGCTATCTGCCTATTAAGATTATCATTATCTGCCTATTAAAATAATTATAATAAATGCTAATAAAATGGCAAATATCGTTATCGAACGTGGATGACCATTACTTGAAATAGCCCGATTAAAATATTTATCTTAAATACAATTATTAACAGTAGATGGTGAATGCTTTACTCACCCATCCTTTAAACATGTTTCCATGCACTAGTTTCCAAAAGTTAAGTAAAAACGGAAAACTGATTGATAACTCATAAAGTATGCAAGCAAAGTGGGCGAAACTTGCACATGCTTAATGCGATTAAGGTCGGGAAAGCGTCTTGGCCTTTCAAACTGGATTATAGTTTCTTCTTCAAGAAACTGGAGAGCGGGTGTCAGAGGGAGTATTATCTGCTTGCAAAATGAATGTATCGCCATCTGCGACAACACACGGGTGAAGAACAGGATCCAGTATGTCGTCTTTGTACCTCTGAGCATTCAGAGTTCCATGGAACAACATGTACAGGTCTGTGCGCCCACCTAAAGATACGAATTTCCATACCAGAACACTATCTCTTGCTCAGGTATCCCTTTCCCGTATATTAGACGGAAGAAATTAAGTGTTTACTTCTCTCCGTATGTAAATGCATCAAGAATCACTCTGTAAAGTAAAGCGGGACTCAGACATCCATTGATTTCAATCCAGTTTACATTACTTTGTGACCAATTCAAACATTCCCTCCGGTGTTGAGAGGCACACAGGACTCACAGTGCCGGTCGCCTAACATACTGTTACGAAATGTACAGGCGCGGTAAGATGGCTTCCCCCCAAAGCAGCTTTAGGGTTGCCATAAAATAACAAGGATGGCAGGGTTGCCACATTTGGCGATATACCATGGATGGTTGGAGAACCTTCTGGAACAAATTCTTAACAGTTTAGTCCAGAATGTTCTCGAACACAGGCCGAAAGCTATATAAACCCTGCTGGTCCACAGTCAGTTAGTGTGTCTCAGAGAGTGTGCCTCGTCTAGCGAGCAGTGCGGAGTCGATCGAGTTGACAGCTGGGCAACGAGTGCCGAGTGGGTCGTCGAGTGCACTGAAGGAGTCTGTTAGTGCATCGTCGAGAAAGCGTGTTGAGCTCCGGGAAAGACTGAACTGAAGAGTCGGAAGCTGTGCTCTGTGTGTTGTCGAGTGCATCGCGAGTTGTAGCATGGAAAGTCTCGAGAGTTCGTGGAGGTCCGAGAACGACCAAGCAAAGTCGGGTGCTTTGCAGGAAGCTATCTCCACTATTATTGCCTGAGAGTGCTGAGCCGCTGATTGTTCCAGCGTGTTTATAGTAGATCTTCGATGACTGTAAAAAGTGTTATTGGAGCTGTCCTGATTAATATTGGCTAAATAAAGTGTGTTTCGGTACTTCATCAAGTGTCGTCGTTATTCACTCCAAATCTATGAACCCCGTACGAACGTGAAGGAAGAAAATAACGTAACAACTGGTGTCAGAAGGAAAAGAAAAACGTAACAATACAGATATCTTTCATGCAGCCTTTCGTGTGATGTCATGGCTGATATTGTCCTTCAGAATTAGAAATAAGGGCAGCAGAAAATAAGGGAGAATATAAGCTGAAACTGCAGTCCTGTTGCGACCTGCTCTAAATCACAAATATAAACATCTGCAGAAGTCTCTTTGCCTACCTTTGGTAGGTCTTCGAAAGGCCGAGCCAGTAGTCAGAAACTGGTTCTACAATTGGCTTACCACAGAATAGACAACATTCAGCCATTTTGCAATGTCAGACTATCGTTGGCCTGCTTCTAATCGGCCTACGGCTCTATAACGCAGTTCTGCTAGCAAATGTCGTCTCGAATTCAGTTTTACGCTTAAGTTATCTCAAAATTGTTTAATACATCGCCGTTCCCTCCTAAACAGCTCGTTTTAAGCTGTGCCGTGTTTTCGAAAAGCGATGGTGTCGCCACTCCTTTGAATACGTCTATTCAATGCAGCTTGCTTTTATTCGAATCATGCTCGAATTTCAAGAATTTAGAAAAATATTTTTAATATATGCAACATACTTTAAATAAGCATTGTTTATTGTATGACTTTTGATGTCCTGTGTTAAAATATTTCTGTTGCTATTAATTTCCTGCAAACTAGAATATCACATACCTGCCAACCTCTAAAGATAAGAAGATTTCTCCAAAATTCAGAAGAACACGAAGAATTAATATCATGCTTTGATATTAAAAAAATAACAATTTATGCAAATAGAAAAAAGAAAATTGTACTTACATTAGTAAATCTCAATTAAGAAGTAACTAAAAAATTTATTAGGAAACATAAAACAAGAACTTAATGTTACACAAAAAAATTATTGCAATGAATTTAGAGTGCATTTTTTGGCTTTAGCCAAAAATTCTTTGGAAAATTTCCTGTCATAACAATTAGTTTCCTCATAACATTTAGCAATTAAAATGTTTTCTAGAGTTTTTGGTGAAATTGAAGAACGAAACATAGTTTTGTTTTTCTTCACACACACTGAAGACTCTCTCGCACTCAGCATTACTGTGTGGAATTACGAGAATAGCACATAAAACTCTTGCTAGTCTATCATATTTTGGTGTTCCATCAGCTCTTTTTATTCTTTTTAAGGTACCAACGAGGACATCAAGTCTATCTTCTCCAGAACTGGCAAAGTCTTCAAACTGTGCAGCAGAAAATTGGTTCTGTAGTTCATCTAAAGCATCATTATGGCATTCATTTTCTTTGATTGTTAACAAAAATCTAAATTTATCAATAAAAAAACGAATCTTTTCAAAAGATGAATTTTCAATTTGTTTCAAATTTGCCACTTCAGCATTTAAAAGAATTCCCTGGTTTGATTTCCAATTATAAGATCATTGTCATCCTTTTGATTTGCCAAACTATTATAGGCAACACGAATCAACACACTGTTTTTCACAACGGACGGTTTTACAAACTTAGTATAAAGTTCTTTCAAAAGATCATTAAGAATTTGGATAAGCAGGGGAGATTTTGGCGAAGCTGATTGTAGAAGGGTATTTACACTTTCAAAAATCTTAATGGTACTTAACACAAAACTACAATATGCTTTGTTCAAATCCGAAAAGAAAGAAGATAGAAAATCCTTTCCTCCCGGCTAATAGAAGACTGTTTCTTCTTCCCTTCAACTTCTTTAACAAAGTTGACCTTTGAGGAGTCTTCTAAGCATTTTCTTTTTAAAGGGTTTGATTCTGTGTGTTGGCTTTTCCCTTTTAAAGCATTTTGATTAGAAGCAAAGTTGGTTTTCGGAATCTTATATGCCGACAAATTTGATGGGATCTGTGGTTTCGTTTTGGTCTCTTCGTGGAAATATTTTAGCAATGCATCCCACTGTTCAATAAACCTTCCTAGCGCTCTGCCTAAGGATAACCATCTCGTGCATACATGTTTCAGAATTTTTCTCGTTTCACCAGAGCACAGTTCTTGGAAATTCTTTAGGTTTTCTTTCCTTTTTACACTTTTTTCCAGATAGAAAAACACATCAATCAGAAGCTGGTCAATATTTAATGGTAAAGCAGCTGCAGCTTTTTCTGCTGCCAAATTAATTAAGTGGCATGGGCATCCAATAACAATTAATTCATTTTGTTCTTTTTTGAGGAAAGAGGCTACACCCTTTTTGTCACCCACCATGACATGAGCATTATCTGCACCAAATGAAATGCAGTTTGATATTGGGATGTTAAGTTGTTTCAACTCATTAATTACCAAGGAGGCAAATATTTCCCCCATAGCATCTCCATTTAACAATGGAAGACGCAAAAGATGAGTTTTCATTTCATTAGAAACATCACAGAAATATGTGACAACGATGGGGGTAAAGCTTCCAATCGCTGTCATTGCTGCCATCGATTGACACCGAAAATGCTGAATTCTGGAGTGCAGCTATCGTTTTACTTTGTGCATCGCAAGCAATTTCGTTCACAATAGAAGATGTTTTCGTGCGAGCACAAGCATATATTCTGAGCAATCTTGGAGTCGGGAAACATCCGTCTGAAAAGTTGACCGGCGTGATTCGGCAGCGCTTAGCGGCACGTTGTGTTCGATGAGGAATGCAGTAAACAAACACTCTGCCAAAATGACATCGGCATCCGAATTCGTAGCCGAATTTGAAAAAAAAAATCATCCACTTTCTTTGACGTTGTCGAAGCCGAAACATTAACTTCTTGCTTTTTAGACTTAACATGCTTCACAATGTCGCTTCTTCCACCGTGACTTATTATGAAGTCACACACCCACACATTGCAAAATGCATAGTTATTTCCTTTGAAGGATTCTTTAATTGTTGGAAATTCGGCTTTGTAGGCAGGCCAAAAATATTGAGAATAAGGTTTTTTTGAACTCATTTCGTAACAACAACGTATTAAGACAATCTACGCTCGCTGAGTAATTCCCTTGCTGCTGAAGCGAGCGCGAAAAAAATAATCTGGTGCCCACAAAGAAAAGAGTGGGAGAAACAAGTTCAGCGCATTGGATTGGCTGGTTAAGCGGCGAGTTGGGGAGAAACCGCAGGTTACTGGATTCGAAGTAGTCGGTAGTAGTTGGCGGTAAAAACACAATTGGCGAAAATCGCTGAATTGGCGAAAAATTCTAAAATTTCGACAAAAATCACTAAAAACACTTCAAAAAGGAAAAAATCGTAAAAAATGGAATACGATCGTAAAATCGTAAAGACAAACGCATTTTCGTAAAAATTACGAAAAATTCGTAAAAGTTGGCAGGTATGATATCATGTATTATGCCAACGAGAAGACAAATATGTTTAAAATATTAACATTTATTTTCAAATATCACAATAGTATTGCTAAACTGCATAAAAACTATGTAAAACTGATAAGAACATATACTAAGATTCTTCATAATTTTCAACTTTCATGTCTAACAGTCCCAGCTCTTCATCTTGTTCCCGTGATCTTTTGTACTTTTCAACAGTCAGATTTGTATCAGGATTTGGATAATGTATACTCTGAAAGAGATTAAAAAGTACATCATCATTAAAATAATACAAAAAAAATTGTCTACAAACTCTAGATTAAAATCAGAATTTCTCTAGATTAGAATGAGGAAATCAGCATAACTTTTAAAACCTAAGTAAGTCATATAACAACAGGTAAAATCCTAATTACCTGAACATAGCTGTTACCACAGGGATCATCAAGAATTAGAGTAACTTTCCATTTACCTGAGATAATCTACACAGAAAAAACATGTGATCAGCTTCACAAATAAATTCTCAAACACTAGCATGCTGCATGATGATACAAACTTTACATGATAAAACATTATGCAAAGATGATATGCATAAAGACACAACAAAATTCATTAAGTAAAACATTTGCCCTATTCTATTCTTAATTTTTATTTATTTATCTTTCCTCCTTTGAAAAAAGGTTAAAGAAAAAATTTTCTGCAGAAACCACAAAGATTTGTACATAAATATTTCACACACCGATTCTAAAATATGGTAAATACGCTAAGACAGTGGTCTCAAACTGAAATTGCACGCCGGTCAAAGGCATGATTTGAAAGCAGCTGACAAGCCACAATAAGCAAAGAAAGAAAGAAAAGGGGGAAAATGAAAAAAAAAGAAACAAAGGAAGAAAAGTTTTTGTTCTCTTTTTGTTACCAAAACAAAATATGTTAACAAAATTAAATATTTTTCACTAAATATTGGTCAAAACATACACATAAAAAAAAAAGATCCAAAGCAAAAATTCAAATTTAATACTTTATTTTTTGCCTGAAATATAAAAGTATTGGTCACAATATGTAATTCAAATGCATTGACAGCTATATATTAAACTTTTCAGACTAACATATATATTGAAATAACTACTAACTTGTAAAATAAAAAAATTTGAAAGATTTCAGATTTTATGTTATGCCCAAAGGGGCATTTTTTAATGTTTTGTGTTTCTTATTAAATATCATGTTCTTCGTACTTAAACCATAAACGTCAACAGCAATATCGCAAAATAATTTAAAAGAGCATATCTTTAGAATTTCTGATACACAGTCTCGCGCGCTGGAGATAAAATTAATTTTTTTTCCCATACAGTGTTGTCATTGCTCACTTCGAAATTGTTGAATTTCTTAATAAGAAATTCTTAAATGTTTGACAAAATATGAAATTGATAATAAAACAAATTCCAAATTTGGGCTTCCAGATGCCCATATTTGAATGAAGGACTATGTTATTCACAATTTGATGTCTCTATGTACCTTTGTTTTTTCACAGTGTGAGAAACATACATGCATTTATGTAGATTCTTCATTATTTAATGTTCTTAAATGTAATATTTGGTGACACAATTTGAAAAGTGAACTGATGCAAAATGCCAAAACGAAATTAATAGCCCTTCTGAAAAACTACCCCTTTGGGTTTAAAAAAATATACAAAAACTTCCAAACAGAGACAAAACTTGAGAACAAATAATGAAATTTAGTCTCTTTTGTGTATATATTAGATTTTTCTATGGCACATACTTTGGAAAGTAATGTTTATTATAAACCTCTTTGTTTCCTACTGTACCTTTCAGGTACAACCTCTCATATCATTTTGAGTTTCATAAGACTTGTAATTTTAGAGGAATATTACTAGAAAGTATCTTCATCACAAATTATAAATACTGATTGGCAGTCTGGTTCTTATTCTAATTTATTATTTTTCATCTATAAAAAATGTAAATGCACTTCCTATTAGATTATTTTTACTGCAAAAATTCATAATGTAATCTTTTGACAAGTACTATATAAAGTTAATCAAATTTGTATCTTCAAATTTCTGTGTATAGTTTATATCAAAGTATAAATTTAATTAATTCCAATTCTAGATCTTTCAAACAATTATTCACATTTGCTTTTCGTTATGAAAATAATGTAAAATTTGACTCCAAATCACTAAAATATTAAACTTTTTTTTTTTCAAATTCTTACCCTAATAATGATAATTAATTTATGGGTGTGGGCTACATAAATTGTTCTGGAGGCCACATGTATGCTGCCAGTTTGAGACCACTGCTCTAAACAGAAGATAATCCTGTATTTCTAAATGTGTTTCACGAGTTAAAAAATAGTTACATACAGGTATCACATATATCAGCTTATCTACAGTAAAAATAAGAACATAGTTCAGAGACCATAAAATGGGATAAAAATAAGTTTACCAAACTTCTTATAACCCAAGCAAATCAATGCACAAGTGCACACAGAAAACACGGATCACTTAAAATGATATAATATTAAATACCATTAGACAGTATTCAGTATTTAGACAGTAAAGTATTTACACAGTTATGTGACTGCCAAAATACTTTTAAAACTGAACTGTTATATTTTAAACAAAAAAGACATAGTTTAACCCTTTAAATGAGATTTTTTGTCATTTGGTATATAATAGATTGTAATTTAAAATATTTTACTTTTTTATTTTCTTAAATAAGGTAAATATAATCTTAATGAATGCAAATTTACAAAAGCAGAGACAAAAATAAGTCATTATAAAAATTTAGCTAAAAATTGCTGATTAAATACAGGTTTTTGTGAGCAGATACAAAAAAAGCTAAGCCACTCAGAAGGTTAACAGGGTTCATAGCCCCATTTTAGTTAAAAAAATAAGCACCTATAAGCACTTTTCAAGGATATTTTAAGAAAAAAAAATAAGCACCTGTCTAATTACATTATACACAACTGCATAACCTTAAAAATTAGACTGGTAATTTAAAATATACGAAATGCAGTATTTATTAAGAGAGAATAAGCATTACCTCAACCATGGAAAATAATTAGTTTTTTTTTTTATTTTTTTTTTTATTTTTATTTTTTATTTTAAAACAAACAGTTCAATTTACAGAACTAGTTTACTAGTTTACAATGAGAGGAAAAAAACTATGCAGAACTAAACTATATTACAAGATTTAATGATGAAATTTCAGTTCAAAATATAGGAAATAAATAATAATAAGGCACAATTACTCTATCCGCTTGGAACTTAATAACAATTTAGTTTTCCACTCATATTGAAATTTAACTAATTTAAATCTAAATTCTGAACATTTTCTAAATTTTCATCGTATATCAGTTTTCCCTTAACAGATATTGCAAGCAAAGCAATTTAAGTAAAAAAGAGGAACATTTCTGAAATCAGAAGACAGAAATTTGCTTCACGCAGTCATCCTTTAACAGTAAAATCTTAACTACCCGCATACTTGAAAATTGGCAAACATTCGGACAGTCGAGCGTAACTTGAAAAAGAGGAGCGGAGGGGGGGATAGACTGTAGCCGTTCTTTAGATTTTTCCGTTAAATAAATGCCTTTGACATTTTGATATGTGCATCATATAAAAACAAGCCAACAGAACAGAAAAATATTCTGCTTTGCAAGCACAGTAAAACTCTTTTAAGTATTCATAAACAAATCTCGGACCAAACATCAAAATTAATTATTTCTGCAAAATATCGCAAAAGTTATTGCGCAATACGTGCGCTGTAATTCTTCCCTACATGATATTATGCAATCGTATTCAACAGCTGTCGGTATTGGGAGAATAAAGAACTAAAAAAAGGAAAAGAAAGAGGCTTACCAATCATTACCAGGGGTGTTTTTCATTCTAATTTTCAACAGACTGCATTAAATTTCCGGAATAAGAATCATTCTTCGCTTAAGTTGGTAGACCGCAGAACTTTTAGTCCTGTTCAATCCAGATTGGAAAGTGACAAAAAAAAAAAAAAAAAAAAAAAAGGTTCGTTGCTTGTTTTGCAGCAAACTGTAACAGTTTCAATATTTTAGATTTTGCGGAGAAAGGGAAGAACCTCCCAACCTTCGTACTGTATAATGTATTGGCCAAAAAAAATGAAATTATTTTGACTATTCGATTACTTTCCCTTTATATAAGCCATTCTGAATATTATTCCTTAGAAAGCTAATCTGTGTTAAAACACAACAATTTTCGGAAGTTTACTATACTTCAGCATTTACTGCAACTATGTTATTATAAACATTCATACATATGCTCATAATATAAGCATAACGATCACATAATAAACATGGATATGAACTGACCAAGCGAAACGAGAATGCAAATTATTAAGATCTTGATAGAAATTCAAATGTGTATTTGGGTGAGGAGGAAAAGAATGCCGAATGTACCGGAATTTTCTACTGCTTTCGCAATTCTTTGACCAACAGAACGACGGGCACCTGTCTGTACTCTTTGCACACACCAAAGGTTATGTTTATGCAGAGAAAGGGGGAAAAAGCTATTTCCGGGAGTATGATTCACCATCTGACATTCCATATTAGGAAGAAAAGTTGTTTATTTAGTTTCGGCTTTGGTACGGGGAAAAATTGCGCGTTCATTAAAAAAAAAGCACTAAAAACAAAAAATAAGGGCCTTAAAGAAAAAGTAAGCACCTATAAAGGCCTTTATATTTTATTTTCACATATAAGGACTTATAAGCACTTATAAGGACCGCTACGAACCCTGGTTAATATATAAAACTGAGCTTAATTAAAATAATTAAAAAAATAATAGACTTTTTATTCAAAGCAAACCATCCAAAATAACAATTATAAATAACAGGATGAATGTTAGTACAATAGAACAATAAACAAATACAGGAAGGCAATGACCAGACACCCCATCAGATTTTTAATTACATATCAATTACTTGTCTTAACCTCCATTGTGGAAATTAACTACATGTGCATAAATACAGAGTTTTGAAAGTTAGAGAGAGAAATTTGGCAGCACAGCTGACCATTGTAATATGTCCTTGCCCATCTCAGTGTTTAGACCGGCATTAGCCTTTTGCTAGCCGAGTTCATTCACACAATTTGATTGGTTTGAGACATTGACAGGCTTTTTGTTTTTGTGAATTTATGGCATTAAATTACTTTAAGTTAATTTACATTTTATGTTAGATTAAATTCTGCAAGCAGCAGAGACTGTTTTGTAAGCTCAGGACATGCATTTGTTAAGTTTAAAGCTTTAATAGGCTGCATTAACATTCTTCTGACCTGGAGTTACTTTGACAAATGGGATGATAGATTGTCTGATAGTCTCACCAGGAACCATTTTTAGTGAAATAATTGAATGAATTTCCTGAAACTGTAAAACAAAGGATGAAAAGAAAAGGCATAAAATTGTTTATGATAATTTAGTACATTACTTCCATAAATTACCTCAGGGAGAGAGAACACACACAGATATCAGGGCCGTTCCTAGCAGGGGTGCAGGTCGTAAAAGTATGCGGGCACCCAAAATCAGAGGCAGACAGATTCTTGCGATAACATGTCTAAATATTTTGAATTCATTGTAAATACTTGTCATATGTAAGTACTTAGTGAGTATGAAATAAAAATTTTATTAATTATTGAGCATTTTATTTTAAATTTGGAGGTGGCAATCATAGGAATGTACACAGGCAGGCAATGGCCTAGGAACAGTCCTGCAGATACTTCACAACACTGCCATCTCCTCTCAACAGATAACTGGGAGTCGAGTATAAATGTGTTTCTTTTAACATAAATAAATGGGTAGGCAGTAAAACATCTTAAATGTTTTTTAAGTATTACACTGTATTTATAATGATGAGTATGTTTTTTATATAGGAAATTTAAGAGGGGGATAACATCATCTTACATTCAGGCCTAAACAATAAATGATATAAACATAATTTTACCAAAATTTTGTGTGCAAATAAATGATACAATATAGTACTTTTTATTCACTATTTTAAAATTAAAATTTCTTAAATTACCTCATCTAATTTTGTTAAAAAACTTTCCATCTTTTCTTTCAGTAATGGATCTCCACTGTCTCCCGTAGCTAACGGATTACTCAGCTTTAGCTTTAAAAAAGATAAATAACACTTTGGTATGTCAAACAATATTAAACAGATGATAATTTAAAAAGCTATATTTCACAATTTTAGCATAAATTAGACACAACTAGATAATTTATCAGGTTTTTTTTACTTTGGTAATTACATAAATATCATCAAACAGATATTTAAATTTCTTTCTAAGCAACAGAGCTTCATTCCAGTTAATTCATTAAAAAACAAATTCAGGACCAATGGCACTCTAAGAAATATTTACGTGAGAGAAGGAAAACCTCATCAGAGTAATGATATCCGATAAGTGAACTTCTATCGAAAATGTGTAGCTTTGTCTGTCCATTCATCATAATGCCTCCCCATACAAGCACGCCTGGACCACCTAATGGACTCTTTCCCTGATGTCAGTGAGTTGAAAGCATGACCCTACTCTCTCCATATCAAATGGCACCGAGACTCCTTTATTACACTGAAATGACTCTCATCGGTAGAGAGAACGTGAGTCCAATAATGAGGTGTCCAGTCTTTGTGTTTTTTACACCACTGTAAACACTGCCGATGTAAACCTATTGCCCAGTTGCCATGCACAAATGCTGAGCAGTGTCGCTCGCTGTCTGGTTTCAATCTCTTTTTAAGTGCAAGGCAATATATTGGTTATCAGACACTTGTTTTCCTTGACCGATCACCATCAACCTTTCTTACAGCTGCATCTATCATCTGGAAGGTTTTCCAAGCTCGTGAAACAACATTTTAATTCCAAAATAATTTTAATTCCCTTCCTAATTTAATTAAAACCCTCTCAGTGCCATGACCGTCTTTATACAGTCATGAGATTTTTCGTGACTTCGTATATAATAACGTATAATTTAAGATATTTTGATTTCTTACTTTCTTTAACAACATAACTTCCATATTGATGAATGTAAGTTTATAAAAATAGAGACTAAAAAAAGTAATTGTACAAATTTAGCTAATAAATGCTGTTTAAATACAGTATCATGTTCGGACACTTCATGACAGATCCAATAACCCACACAACTGAGATGGTTAATGATGCATAAATGCTTTAGCTAATAATAATTTTAGAAGTTTAAATACCAACCAATTAAGATAAAGCACACTGAAACCAGCACTGTAAAGTAAAACTCAAATTATTTTAAAACCAACATATCACCACAACACATATCACTACATTTTGAAAACATATCACCACATTTTGGTCTGTGCTTTTGTTAGCAGTTAACATATTGACACTGCTTCTCTTCTTACTGCAGCGACACCAAAAATGTAAAAAGTTCAACAACAAGTGCCAGAATATAAATATATTTGTACTGGCTTCTTTACGACATTGACATCTGTACTTCAATATTTCTAAATCATTATATCATAAGGTCTACCAGAATGTCATTAAGGGAGATGTGATTGTGTAAACCATGGCTACCCATAAATTTCATTTAAAACACTGTATTTCGTATGAATTCCGACAAGGAAGAAATGCCATAGAAATGTCAATACAGTACAAAGTCCGAAATCCGAACTCGTTGGGACTTCGGCGATTCCAAATTTGGGATTTTTCTGGATATTAGATCATCATTATTTCTGGATATTAGATTGTTTGACTTCTGAATTAATATTAGATCATCAATTTAAATCTGGTAAGATGGCATGCAGAAATTATATAATTAAAATTATGAAATCATAATTTATGAAATAAAGAACAATTATGATCTAAAGGGTATCAAAAATTTACAAAAAAAAAAAAAAAAAAAAAAAAAAAAAGCTCAATATTTATTCGTTTACTTTATTAAACATTTCTTTCAATGTAAGTTGTTTAAGTTGCTTCCACAAAAAATTCAAAAAGTTCCTTTTTCTTATGTCATATACAGTTGACTTTCCAATGCCATACATACTCCTCGCATAATTTTGAGATGGATATGCCTTTATCCATTTTTTGCAGCAATTCCAACTTTTATTTAATGGACATAGAAACATGGTTTCACTTCGTAGATCCTTTGGCAGCTCCAGAATTGGAAAGTCTTTTTGACATAATCAAAAGTTCAAGCTTATTTTTTATAAAATTGCCGTAATAATAACAGTCTGCAAAATAATAAGCTGGATCAAATTAGAAGATTAGGGAGCAGCACAGTCTCCTAGATTAACTGAAATGCCTTAACAGCGTTTGTTATACATTATTGGCTGTGTATCACAAGACTGGCGACAAAAGCCAAGTTACTTCAATAAATTTTGTCTTGCTCCTTTTGCGTACTGATTTAAGCCTGAATTGTATTAGTTTAGTTATTTACTATACCTACGTTTATTTCTTGCACATGCTTAAAACTAATCTGAGTCCTGCATAAATATACTTAAGGCATTATCTAGGGCCGGTGGTAGATACCGCCTGGTGCAGTCTCTACGGGTCCTAAATTCTGCTACAAAGTGCCTTCCTAAGTTCTAAATTTTCACAGCGACTAAACTTTGGATGCCAGTGCTTTTGCTAAATCGCAAAAAACTTCTCATCCCCTTAATTTTGCCACTCGGTGCTTCCCCAAATTCCAAAAATTTCCTCTTTACTAAATTCTGGCGTGCGGTGACGACATATTCTGCCGCCGCTTCTGGGTTTATGATGAATAACATATCAGTTATTTTTAATTAAAATAGCACTAAATGTAATCTTTTTGGCCCATGAGTTTCATTAACAAAATCTATATTTAGCATATGAAAATAAATTTTTGTTGAATTTTTCTTCATCAACATTTCTTAGAGCATTTAAAAATCTATAATCATCGCCAAGCATAATTAATGTTAGCATAAAAGGTTGCCATACCCTTGTTATTCAATTACTAATACAAAAAAAAGTTTAGACATCACTGCATGAGTTATTACTGAAGCTGTCATGTATTGATAAACATGCGGTGATGAAAACAAAATATAATAAATAATGACTCGCCAGGTCGGCTTCAGGGATGCAAAATAGGAGAATGTTTCGGTTTGAGGTGTATGCCAAGCAGCAAATTATTAATCTCACAAATTTATGCTTACATGATTGTTTTTCCATAATTAAGTATTTTATTTAGTACCTAAGTGAAATTAAGAATCGGAATTTTTAAGTGAAAATCTCTACATGTTTTATTATGGAAGGAAAAATGAAATGTGCATGCGTAAAACATATAAAAAAAAATTTTGTGGCTTTGAGGTCCGGATTTAAGATCATTCCGGATAATGGACGTCTGGATTTCGGACTTTATTTAGTGAAAGTTCATAGCTGGGATGCAGTTCGATACAGAATGTGCAGATGATGGTTTGAAAAATCTGTAGCAGGTGATTTCGATCTTAATCCACTCTCTGGGCAGCCATCTTTGATCAATGATGATATTGTCAAGACATTGATACAGCAAGACCGTTTTTTGACATTGCAGTCAAAAAACGTAGAAAAGCTTAACTCAGCTCAACAAACCATTTCAGACAATGTTCAGAAACTAAGATGGTCTATAAATATTCCAGATGGATGCCTCATGAGTTAAATGACAAACATTTGCATGATCGATTTGTCAAACGCAACATGTCTGCTTGCTCAGAACAAGAGCAAACCGTTCTTGGACTGGATAATAAGTGGTGATAAAAAATGGATTACTTAGAAAAACATCATTAAGAAAAGAGCATACTGTCAGCCTGGACAATATGCCATACCATCTCTAAACTGAGCATGAACCTGAATAAGATACTATCCTAGGACCAATATACAAACAAGCTTTCGAAACTTAATAAAAAGCTTAATTTGGGGAGATACTGCCAGCAAATGGATGATTTAAACAAAGCATTCAAAGAAAAGAGGCTGCAATGTTCAACAGGAAGCACATCATGATGCATCATGGATAATGCCAGATCAAACGCTGCTTTGGTTATTTGTCAGAAAATCGCAGAGTTAGCCTGGGAAATTTTGCTGTAAACACCACATTCCTTGGACCTAGCATTCTCCGATTATCACTTGTTTCTCTCCTCACAAAATTTTTTCAAGAGTAGAAAATTCAAAACTGAAGCAAATGTCAGCCAAGCACTACTTGAGTTCTTTGCCTCTAAAGATGAGACTTTTTTTTTTTTTCTTTTTAAATGATAATCGAATTGTACTTCTCACTGGAATCAAACTGCCATGATATTCTGGGCTTGTAATTTTTCACAAGCAACTGCAATTATATTAGGACAATTACGCAAATAGACAAACACAGGATAATATGAAGTTAAGTAGATATCTCCATATATAATAAAAGGCTGATACACCTACAGAAAACTAGTGTTTTAAATATAATATCACTCAAAAAAATTGGCAGTCTTTTTTTTTTTTTTTTTCTTCATTGAACTATTTCTTACAGCAGGGTTTCTTAAACTTTTTTCAGTCACGATCCTTTTAATCACTGAGATTTTTTCATGTCCCCCAGGAAACCATAATATTTACAAAAATTTTTTGGGACCACATAAGTATTGTGTAAATCCGAGACACGCGTGAGTGAAACTGTCAATTTTTTCACTTGTACTGTAATATACTATTGCAGTTTTAGGTCATTAACTTTAATTTCTAATTTTAAGATATAGAACAATGTGAAACATTTAAATAAGTAACAGATGAAATAACATAGTCACGTGCAAAGCAAGGAAAATGAACGTTTATATTATAAAAAGAATGTGTTGAAACGTTTTCATTTTTTTCTTTGTCTGTATTGCCTTATCTTTATCTATTTTCAAATACATTGTGTAAAAATATTTAGTAATTGTAAAATTATTATAATAAATTAAATAAATATCAAAACTGCTAAAATTTTTGGCGATCCCCTGCTGCAGGTCCCACGACCCCCACAGTTTAAGAAACCCTGTCTTACAGGATTATTTTGAAAAAAATTTGATGTGACTCCGTACAAGGAAGCAATACACTTTGTGCTGCACTTCATCTAAAGGTACTTCCTTGAATTATTCTAATTTAATTAACTGCTCCCTCAAGCCAAGTTTAAAATGACATAAAAAATAGCAAATTTTAAAATTAAATATCACAGTCAAATCTTGTACAGGAGTTAAACTTTTTACAATTTTATTTTTTCATAACGAGTATAAAACTTTAACAAATATAAGAACAGGAAGACCACATTAAAAGTTAGATTTTGTTATTTGTCCAAAATTAATTTTTTTTTTAAATTTCACATTGTCAAAACATGAATATTTTCATCATTTGAATCATTTCTGTAGTTGGAAGTATATGTTTATGACCAACGATTGCAAAAATAAAGGACCAGTAAAGACATTTAATTCAGGTACGGGGGTGGGTATACATACATATATTTTTGGTAATGGTATTGCAATAAAAAAGGAATGTACTCACACTATAGGAACCCCATATATAAAATTTCAGTGTTCTATGACTAACTGCTTTTGAGTTATATGAGATACGTATGTATGCACAGACATCACAAAAAAATTAAATTTTTAATCCATTTTACAATCTGTTTTGGAAAAATGAGTCCCTTTTTCTATCCATACAAGCACAAGTAACGAAAAAAAAAAATAGTCAAAATGGATTCAGAAACTGTCGGAATGGATATTTCCATTGAAATATGACACGCAAAATTTTTCACAATTTCAATACTTCTTTTACTTCATACAAGGATGTAAAATGGTTACAGTAACAATCACAAACAGATGCCCATCTGAAAGATAACAATAAAGAGGCTGTGAAAGTATTCAATCACATATTTCTTTCATATGGGATTAGAAAAAAGCACTGTACATTAAATCACACCTCTCTTTCATGTTTATTTACATATGTTTTTTCATGTTTCTCCTTCAAATGCATCTAATTGTCAAGTATGGATGGTATGTTACATGGGACACCCTGCATTATTTTTTGAGAATTTATTAAGTTCTGTTCAATTTACTACAGTCAAAAGTCGTTAATTCGGACACCCATAATTCGGAATGATCTATAATCCGGACATCAAAACTAAAAACTTTCTGCGCATGCGCCGCGTTGACACATGCGCAGAGGCGTTCACGCGTGCGCGTAAGACCTTTTACGACTGCGCATATGAGTGTGCGCAAGTGCAGAATACGTTTTCGCGTGCGCATTTATGTAAATGGACGTATAAGCTAAATAATTATCTATTTCAGTTAATGTTTGATGATTGCGTTCTTTCCTTAATTTCGAATTGCATCGGCTTATTATTTTTTGCAGACTGTTAGAGCAATTTTAAAAGTAAGCTTAAACTTTCGATTATGTCAAATAGAATTTCCGATATATATTTGTTAATATGTAAAGGATCTAAAGCGAAAGTATGTTTTGAAATCCGAAAATCTGTTTATCAATTTCACGCTGCTCGCGGCGGGCGGGCGCGTAATGAATTGGAAGTTGATCTGTCAGCACTATCCTTATCTTCAGGGCAGATGTTTTTATTTTATTTGGCTTATAATTCCTTACCAAATGTAGTATTTCATCTCGGTATGCTCCGTCTTTGATATGATTTAAATCAAGTTCCTCGTCATTATAATTCGCTTCCGATAGCGAAGAAAAAGTGACAGACAGAGGTTATTGAAAACAAAAAAAATTTCGATTGACAAATTAGTCGGTTTTCTTGACACAGCAATTATAGGACTTGAACAGCGGAACTTTGTAACTGAACAAGAAATTATGTCTGTTTAATAGAATTAAAGAGAAAGTATTATCACATGAAACGAAGCAAAACTTAAACAACTTACATTGAAAGAAATGTTTAATAAAGTAAACAAATAAATATTAAGCTTTTTCTTTTTGTAAATTTTGATACCCTTTAGATCATAATTGTTCTTTATTTCATAAATTACGGTTTCATATTTTTAATTTTGTAATTTCTGCATGCCATCTTACCAGATTTAAACTGATGATCTATAATCCGGAAAAATCGATAATCCGGAATCGCCGAAGTCCCGACGAGTCCGGATTAACGACTTTTGACTGTATTCCAAATGCTTTTCTATATATTAACAAATGAAAATAATAGCCAAATTAACAAACAGAGGAAATGTCAAACAAATTAAATAATGAAACTTATTACAAAATAAATTAACCAATGGCAGTCATTACCTATCTGCACCAAAACAAGCAATTTGTCCAATGGGTAGGGAGACAAAATTTGGATGCACTATAACTTGACTTCCCCTCCCGCTGGTCCAAAAGATCCTTATGTTCTTGCGCCAACTGACTTAATTCACTAAACTACTAAGAGTTTCATACGTAAGCAAATTCTGCCTCATTAGACTTAACACCAGTTTAAATTGTTGATAATTCAACAACTATTGCATGCAGATTAACTAAATGCGTAAAAACCTTAACCAGAGCATGAGGACAATTTAATTAGTAAAAAATGAAAAAAAAAAACATACTTCATCCTTGATTGTCGAAAGAATTCCTTCAACAGTTGTATATCGACTGCCAAATGCAGCTGCTCCAACTTCCAATTCTAGTTCTTTGATAGAAATTGCACATGTATCTGACTGAATAGAATTACAAAAAACTTTACAGTTTTCGTCAGGTAATTTAAACACCTATTTAAAGAGATTAGGTAATTTAAACAGATTAAAAACAATTTATTATAATACTATATTTGTTGAAATCCAAAATTACATGCAAACTTCAGTTTCATATGTTTTGAGAGCAAGTTCTAAGTAACAGCTATCTGATGTTTTTAATGTCTGCATGAAGTTCTGAGAGTTCAAAAAGGAATTTCATAAATCTCAATACAAAAAAGACATAGTTATCACAAATTCCAGACATGCCATTCCAATTGCATTACATACATCTTTTTTACAAATATCAATTGTTGGTCTAGTATTTAATTCTTATTAGAGGTGATTGCGACCCCATTGCAAAAATCTTAAAAACTATTATGGAATAAAAATGCCATATTATAAATAATTCAGAATATTAATACGAAATGCATACAAACAAGCATACATATATATTTTCTAACAAATATGTTTTCTTGAAATTGATTCAGAATTAATTTATGTTTCCCTATATCATTTCATCCAGATGCCTAACATTTTGGTCTCAGCATTTAAAAACTGATTGCAACATTTTAGCATGTTTGGGAAGAGAGGGGAGATTCAGTCTGTTGATATACAGTGATGAACAGCTGCTGATAAGGTGACAGATTCTAATCTGGGTGTGCTACAGAAGAGTAACTGAGTGACTAGCTTTTTTCTTTCCTTCTTCTCAGTCCTTCATGTAGATATGTAAGGACAGTGTTAAAACTCTCTCATAATGACTCATTATTGAACGCTCTCTGTACATATATTGTGAATGTTATTCTATGTTAAACATCTGTTAATGTGTTAAATAAATGTATTTCGTTTACCATTTTGCGTTCAACTTCCTTACGGATTATGATGATGCTGGGCACTACCGAGAAGATAAGGAACTAAATTGTTCTTTTCTTTACTTTGGTAATTTGTGGTAGAAATATTTCACAACATAATCTCTGAAAAATGACTCCATTTATAGTTTCCTTTCCTGAAGTCCAGTACCATTGGTAGGACTAAATTAATCATTAACCTGGGAGCGCACGCGCTCTTTTGAGTTATACGAGCACGCGCCCTGGGTCCAAAAGACCCGGCTCCTGTTTTTTGAAGAAAAACTGTTACTCTTCAGGTAAAAGTCTTACACTTATGCCAAAATTTTATGATTAAACTTAAAGAATATGCAAACTATAAATACTAATATTTTAATTTCAATTTCTGTAATATTCCTTATGAAATAAAATTTTTTAAAGGAATAGAAAAACATATTATATTAATATAGAATTTATTAGGAATTCATTATATTCTTATTCAGGTTAGTCAGGAGTTATTATTCAGGTTTATCACGGATATACTGCTTGAAAGAACGTCTTTCTCGTAAGGCTTCAAGTTTTTCATTAATTGTTATGAACTCACCGACAGTGTGACATTTCTGGCAGTTATTCACAAAATCTTCAAAACTCTCTGATAGGTGCAAGTTTATCTGATTCATTCTTGATGACGCGAGTTCCTATATCATCAAAACGCAAACATCTTTATAAAAAAAAAGAAAACATTTGTAGGATATAGTTTTGTGGAAAATTTCCAAGCCGGTTCCTTCTATTGCCAGCAGATCCCGTACATTTACATGAGATGACTTGATGTCACAAAAATATAAAAGACCTATTAAAAGTGAAAATTTCAGTTAGAGTTGTGTTATGAGCATCTCTCTCTCTTTGAAAGCTGTCAGAAATAGATGCAATATAAATATTTGTATAACTGATGACTTTCAGCAACATTTGTTCTCTTAGTAAAAGTTACCACGGTTCAGTTGAAGTCTACACATATTTTGCCTTAACGATGTTTCCAGGCAAATTAGTAATAATATTATGAGCAGGTGTTCTAACATCAACTTTAGACTTTCTTTTTACAATTAGGTTTTTCTCTTTTCCAAGAAAGCAATAAATGTCAGTCTCATTTTCGTTTTCAGTAAAATTACACGGCATGTTAGCTGTTTTCTTTACTACCACAAAAGAACTACCTTACAGCAATGCGAATAGGCGCACTGGGTCTGAAAGACCCGATCTGATTAAAACAAAACTTCAAATAAAATTTACGGCAAAAAACTTCGGAAACATAAAGAAGATGGCCTTGGAGGAGACTACACTGAATTACAACCACTTGGGGAAAAATAGAGGCATTTTCAGAAAGGTTTCTTTAATCGGGCGGGTCTATTGGACCCAGCGCGTGCGCTCGCGGGTTAAGCAATGCAAGCATGTACTATATAAGCTTAGGTCAAGAAGAAAAGGGCCCAACCATGGAATGCAAAGGGTAGCTAAACTGAAACTGAGAGGGAGAGAAGGAATAAAGAAAAAAAAATGGACATAAGCATATGTAAGGGCAGTGCATAAGGTCTTAACCCCGCCTTGATGATCAGCAAGACATTTTGATACAGACACTGACTTTTCACTTTATGTATTAAACTAGAACTTGAAGTATGCACATTAAACAAGTATTGGATGTAAGAAACTGCTACAGGGAAGAGAATGGTTCCAGGAATGTAAAGAATCATAGTAAGGTGTCAAGTTATTCAACAGATTACTCCTAATAAATTTACAAGAAGGATCTTCAAAAGAATTTTCTGCTGCATAAGCATTTTGTAACATGCTGCACAAGTATTTTGTAATATCATGAGAAGAAAAAATACTTCTCAGCCTGCCTAGCATCTATGCTATCAGTTTTCAAGGACATTTTATATGCTGTAACAAGACAAAGCATATAAATAAATGAACTTTAAGCAAAAGGTTCATGTAAGCAAGTTAAAACAGATTTTAATCAGTTTTATGAATGAATATAAGGTACTTTCCATCTTCTTTTAGACCGAATATTTCAGGCCATGGAGGTAGGAAGTTAAATGAAGTGGCCCTAAACAGGTTTCCCCATACCCTGGTTTGAAGCACTGACGATCCCTTCTTTGGTGACCAAAACATTGGGTAATTTACCATTGAGTTCAATGGGTTTTGACATGATCGGATGTAAATATTTTGTAATTACGTCGTAAATATGCATATAAATGTACTATTTTCTTTTCTACAGTACTTCAGAATTCTAAGTATAGGAAAAGAATACATTTTTAAACAACATTTCATTCTGAACGGAATTAAATGCTATACTTTTCACAGAACAGTTTGCTCAGAATGGTTTAATTTGAAATATTTTCACAAGTTTTCGTTAATTACATTAGAAAAAAAAAATAAGGTAATTCAATTTGATTCAGTTAAGGATTATAAAAATTAAGATCAAAGTTTACTGTATTATTAAAATTATGCATTATTTCTTTTCTATTTTTTTCTATTTATAGAGCTTCTTCCTAAAATACTTTCTCAAATATGACATGATTTTTTAGCTTCTAAGGCATCTTTTAAATCGAAACTATAAGTCAGTTTACACTTAATACTCTATTCGGTCCATTTCAAATTAGAGAACCTTTTAATTTAATAGCGAAATACTTTAAATAGTACTTATATTAACTGAAAATAACTTTAAATAGTACTTATATACTTATATTAACTTTAAATAGTACTTATATAACTTATACTGAATATTACTGAAAGGGAATACAGTAAGGATTATTTTTTTTAAAATTTATTTAAAATTTGTAACTGACTTATTAGAAAATGTAAGGGGAATAATTCTTTTAATTATACTTATCACATTTTTTTTTTTTTACCCTTAATTTCAACAATATGTATTCCAAAACTCTTCTTTATTACTTTTTTAATTACACATCTCATAGAAATTGCTTTACAATACCTTTTAACAGATTGCTTCCCAGTACGAACAATTCTTACTTAAATAGTTTTATAACGTATTTGTCAACAGGATGTCAATTTATGTTTACAATTCAATGTTAATATTATTATATATTTAGATAATATTTATAATCATTATAAATTTACATACATTTAATAATTAGTCTTCACAGTAACAGTATCATTAATCTTCACAGTAAAATTTCACAGTTATTTATGAATGAATAAATCCTTCATTTTCAATACATTTATAAATAATTTAATAAATATTAGGTATTTGTTAAAGGCAGATACATGCCTTTTGGAAGCACATGCACAAATACGCATATAATTCATATTTTTCATTTCCGGCATGTGGAAATCTTTAATTTCTTGCATTTCACTATATTTTTTTCGAGTGAAGTATTTACACTAATTTTAAAAAGTACATGTTACAATAATATGTGGATGTGAAAAAATTTATTTTATTTAAACATTTTGGCGTCTGGAACATAAATAAAAGTAGCGAATACTGTATTAAGGGATCGAAAAATGAAATTTAAGGTACGGTGAGGTATTTTTATTCTTTGACATAACTTTTTTTGCTAAATCTGTATTTTTATAGTTCAACTTAGATTTTATGAAAAAATCATAATCAAAATCGCTACTGTTAGTTTTCGAAAAATAACCAAGATGTGATTTTTGCGTAAATGTCGCTAAACTATACAAATTGCTATTATCCATCATACTAGGAATGTTTCTTTTATGTGGAAGTGTCCCGTTTTTCGATTTGTATGGAACTGTCATGTGTCGAAATACTATCAGAGCACTGTCAAAAGAGCTACTGAATGTAAACAAAAAACTGAAAGCTGACCGAAGCTTCGGAGCAGTGCTTCACTTCTAATGACGATTTGGCCACTCCTTCCTTTCTTACCTCCATGTTTCAGGCAAAATTTCACAATATTTTTTCTCCTCTCCCCTTTATTTGAGTAAACTCAGTTCACTCAGACAAGAAGTTTAACTTCTTACCGAGCTTTATTCAGTCTATGAACAGCCTTCATAGTCTAAAAATGCAAATTTTTTATAATAACTGAATGATATAGCTATTCTAAAATTACATTTCAGAAAGATAATGAGTGTACATTTTATAAATCTAGAAACTTTGGATTTGAAAGCATAAAAAATGCTGAATTCCAGTTTTATCTGGACCAAAATCACCTCCGTCTTCAAGCACAATTTAAAAATAATATCAAGATT